TCGGCCACGATGTATTTTGTAATCTAACTATTGAAAACGTGTACAGCGGTTAGAAAAAAACGAAATAAAATAAAACGTTTTTTCTCAGCAGCTCAAATGCCTTTTTTTCTCTTAGCTGTAAGCGCTGCTACGATAATCAGATATGCCTAAATATATGTGTTGTACATGCGTCTGCGGTTCACCAACAACGCTCTTAATAAAAAATTAAAATCCTAGTGGCAAGTAGTCGGCGGTTTGATCGCAAATTATGAGTACATTTTTTGATTCCTATCGGCGAACCAGCAACGGAAATTCAATCGGCAGGCCGTGTGAATTGAAACCGTTTAAAACAAATTAAAAAAACCGTTAACTCTGTTAAATCGAAACTGAAGCCGCACTACGGGTCGGTTCGAATGTATTTGGAAAAATAGGTTTTTGACATGTTTGCAAATCGATGGTTTAAAAGTTTCTTCCGGAAGGGTTATGCTCGGCACACGAAATTACGAAGCACGAAGAAAGCTCTTTGAAATGTAACAAACCCCATGGGCAAGGCGTTTTTGACGTGCACGCACTAAAACATTAATATATTATTTTAGGATAAGTCAAAGTCGACCTATCACGATAAAAGTTGTATTTGTACAATGTATATATTATTATTATTATTTTTTTTTTTCGTAAAATAATTCCGTACTGAATTGTACAATTTTATCAATACATTTCGAAACACGTCTAACGGGAGTCGTACCAATAAAACATAATAATACTACGGAAAAGGAACGATACTCAAAGTTTACCAAAACAAAAACGTAGTAGGTATAAATTTTCCGGTTTTGCAAGCGTACACACATATTTAAGTACCGATATAATACCGTAACTACACCTACGCAGGAAGTTCATATGAGTGGTATTTCAAAAATGATTCGTATTCCCAACAGCACGTTTGTTTTTATAACGTAATCGTGCTTCATTGATATTTTAATGTTTACTACGTTTACGCGTTCATTAATTACGTTGTTACCCCTCGACTACGATTACAGCATTTATCGCGTCTGCAGGTATCGTCCACTGGAGACTGAAATTGTGCGCAGTACGACATACTTTTACGTGTAATACGAAATGTTAAGTGTGTAGTACGAAATTTAAAAGTGTGTTGTGGTTCTATTCTCTATATCAGGGATAAAAAACTCAAAGTTACTAGAGGGCCAATCTTTAGAAAATTAAAATCTAACGGGCCAGAGCGTTACACATGACAACACTATACGAATGATACGAAAAAACTGATGTAGTCCGGTACAAACAGCTATGGTTGAAAGCTATAATTATATATACATATAACATTCAATGATGTTTAGCACCAGTTAATAATTGTTAAATCCATAAGTTTGAGTATTGACAATAAAGTTTAAAACTGTTATTTTAAAATACAACACGGGCCGGATAAATAAGGCTTGGGGGGCCTTATTTAGAATATGTTTTTGATAGAATTTGTTTTTAATTTTATATTTTTTTATTGAAATGATCATACATATTTTTAAAATTATTTTAATATTATTTAAAAAAAATGTATTATCAACAAAATCTAAAACACCAACTGTATTACTCATTACTGTTAACGTTCGAAAGAGGAGTATAACAGGATCCATAAGCGTGCAGTACAAAAAAGCATATATTCAAACCTCTGTCGTGCACGCGTATAACTGCAGATCAGACATAACGCACACCAGCGTACGGTTACACATCCGAAATCGTCGTCGAAAACTAATCGATTGGTTTGTGACACAACGGAAACCATTAACATCCTACACGATTACCGTGCACAAGAGGTGATCGTTTGTTACACGGCGATAAGTTCATTTTTACAACAGCTTAAAATATTAACGCGCGAACGTGTTTTGATAATAATTGTTATCGACTTGAACGTACGTGACCGTCGTTCGGAAATCTAAACAAAATTAACGGTTCGCACGTAATAATATTCGGTCGGACCGCTCGGGAACGATTTCCGACTCGAATCGAATACAAATCGATTATATTGTTTACCATTTTATTTTCACGTTTTAATAAAAAATTTATTTCTGGTCCGGTACCGGTGCGTAACACATAATGGTGGTTCCAGGCTAAGGGTGAATTGCCGGTTTCAAAGGAGGGGAAAGGCTTTTAAATTAAATCTTTTAAATTGTCATTTAATTTTACGAACAAAATTATTTAAATAAAAAATTTGACCGCGTACACATAACATAAAACGAAATTCCTTTAAACACGATATTTACCTCATTATTTCATCGGAAGTTAAAGTATTCCTGATATTTTTTACACTTTATTTCGATTTTTTTTTCTTTTTTCTTTTTATGTTGTTTATATTTTTAACACTTCTTTTCCACATCAACAAAACTTGGTTCAATACAAAACTGCAACACTCGAAGTGTGAACTTTAAAATTATTTTTATTATATATTATTTTTTTTTTTTTTTTTTTATCGGATGACTAAATTAATTTCACCACTAAATTTCTAAATTTTTTATTGTTGGTTTTAAATATCCGGACGTAGAGATCGAAATGTATTCAATATTATTATACTATTATACTTACAATGATCACTGGTTTCATCTTTTCTTTTAATTTACGATTTTAACTTTTGTAAAAATATAAATTTAATCGGATTATTCTTAATAAATTATATACGGACATATTGCATCCATGTAATACATAATGATGACAGACTAAACTTTACTTCCGAACATGTCTTTGTTCTGTAATTTATTATGCGCATAATATTAATATTGAACACTCATGTTATTATATTATAAAATTGTTCACACAGTTTTTACCACACTTTATTGCGTGTATAGATCATGTATTTTAAATATCAAAGGATACGTTTTTCTTGAATTGTATTTTTATGCACACATATTGTAAACACATATTTTTCACATTTTTTAGAAAATATATTCTTTTCGCGATTTCATTGATCTTAAACGACCCAGTGGATTTTCGATAGTAATATTTATTCTTCGGCTTTTCTCACATATAAGTATCGCATTTTATTTCTGAACTACGAAAGATTATACGATAGTTGGTTATTACTACCCTTTAAATCCGTTAAAAAAAACTCACCAAGGCAAAAGTAACTTAATCATAAAATGCTATCAACCAATTTGCTAATTTAATATGATTTAATTAGTAATTAAAATGTAATTATTTATTCTTGTTTGTGTCTAAAGAGGAAATGCGTGAATATTGAAAATCACAGGGTATTTTTAATATAAAGTATCATCAATCAAAAACTGAACCAATGGTATGCCTGATAATTATTGCTTTCTTATGGTATAGTGATTAAATTTAATGATATTTTTAAATTAGATTTATGTTTGAAAAAAATATAAATTTACATTTTAATCCGTGGCGATGACTATGAACAATTATTACAAGATTCTATATTTTAAAATATTAACTAAAACGTATTAAATAATCTTTTAGTTTCTCGGTATCCAATTTTTTTTTTCTTGCATTAATTAAAGATCTAAATTGCAATTACTGTAGTGTATTTTTATCGTGATCTTTTGAATCTTAAATATATCCACCGTTCGTTTATTCTCAAATATAAATCAGGTAAACTAACAACTTTTGTGACAGGAAACGGTATTAACTATTAACTTTTAATAAATCAAAACATTTTAGTTTGAACATTATTTGATAGCTTTTTAAATGTTACGACTAACTAATATGCAATAATTAAATAGGCTAATAAATTTTAGTTGAACTTATTTTTAAAAAACACTTCAATATTTTCAAAATTATTTATTGGATATTTTACTTTAACATAATATCCAAAGTACCCGGATGATTTGAAATATTTTATTGTAAAATTGTGATTTTCGTGTTTAGCAATTGCATTGATTAGCTTTAATTTGCGAAAAATTAATAATATTTGTACTTGAAAAGGATTAACGAACACTGAATTCAAAAGTAAACACACGAATCGCTCAGGAAGTGCGTCATAAAAAAAAAAAAAAAACATATACAGTGGCATCCAAGACCACAAAATTTTAAAACAGGTAAACTATCTATGCACTTAAAGATACACTTTATTTCATGCAATTCCTTTAGAGTCCACTTCAAACCTCTTGAATTCAGAAAACCCTTTTAAACACTACTATAGTCTAATAATTGTTTTCAGCCATTAGTGATGTATAGTCCATTTATATGGTTTTAATGGTCGCTACCAAGTATGTACAATACGATATAATCCGTAAATATTTCATAGCAAAAGTGACCTGTTCTCAGTTTTCACGTTTGTTTATACTCTTCGATTTCAAAACTTTAACGCCATACGAACCCAACCCTCCATCAGTGCATTGATAGGCACTTATCGTTATCATTAAGTAGCCTTAAGTTGTTTACATTTTAAAAAATGTTGAATATTTTTGTTTAGTTAACAGATAAAATTGACTTTTTGTGCGAAGGTGGAATTTAAATATTTCGATAACGAATAAAATGAAAAATCTAATGTTACTCAAATTGCCATTACGATTATAGATATTTTATATTCAGATAATGTAAACGGTGTAAAAGCTCCCAATAAAACGTGTTTATCCGATTGCATTATTATACATGTTAACAGTGCATATTATACCCGTGCAAAATACCAGCACGCCCGAAAAAAATTACCGTAATAATAAAATAATAAATCGAGCAAAATTTAATTTAATATTTTTATTCCACCAAATCGTTTGTACCGCGTTAAATCCGTGGATTATTAATTCATTTCGCTGCATACGGCTACTTTATTAGTACACATTGAGAATCGAAACGAGCTATTATTATGAATAATACGTGCATGTTTATCAAATATTTCACATGTTGAAACCGATCGATTCAACAAATCGCGGGACTTTCAAGAACAGTCATTTTGCAGTTATTACAGCACTTAAAAATGTTGTCCATAATTTTCATACATTTGTATTGCAGCTAATAGCTATATTATGTATGCTTGCTTTATACGATACATCAAGTGCACTTACCACTTTGTCGTTCAAATGTCTCACTCGGCAAGGCAGCAAGATGTTTTGGCCTGCGGACGCGAACACATTTTGCGGCGCGTTTTCGAAATACGTTTTCAGCAGTTGTTCGTCGGCTTTTTTTTTCATTACACTACCTGCAACTAAAGGGAGAGAAAAAAAATGTTAAATTAAAACAACATGAATCTTCGTTACAATCCATAACGAAGGTTTTTCGCACAACAAAAACCGATAATTTTCATCCTTTTTTTCCGTGATATGCGCTGTACACAATATAAGGATAGATGGACGCAGCGCGTAGGGGTAATATCATAATCCGTTAAGTAACGGGTGTTGGTGGTTTTTTTCCTACTCTCTGCGTGCCCGACGAAACTTGGTGACGACGACGGAAGAGAAGGTATACATCACCCTTCCATCCCCATTTCCCACTATATATCTCTCCTCCAGCCATTACTCGATCACACACACACTTACTCGTTATTCGTGTCTGTTTCTACTGCCCCTTCCTTGTTCATTTTTGCTATTCAAGGCCAAAGGCATTAACAAGGAAACGATGATCATCTGGGACATCATCAATCTTGCCGAACCTCTGATATTATGTGGTCTCTCGGGCGGTCGCTAAATAACGCGAAACCGACTAATTTGGCTGAGACCATAAGCCTGTGTCCGCACCAGCGTCATGCGTGTACACACCATACATTTAGTGTTATACACAAAACGTTAAATGGATTTACCATTTGTTCGACAACGTTGTGTACTTATTGGTACGTGTTGGCTAATATGTGTATATTCAACGTAACATAACATTATCGTATCAACAAACGCAAACTCATTGATTTATTTTGAATTTGCACAAGGATAGGTAAGATTTGATAGAAAAATAAATTAATAATAACAATAACACTAGAGTTTGATTTAAAAAATTATTAAATAATAATTAACAGTGATTCTTTTGCGTTGAAAAGAAAAAAAACTCTAAGTGTGCCTTTTAACGCTACGAATCGTGCTTTAGGCAGAATCTCTTTCGCTTACTTCAAAGTTCAAAGGATTAAATTTAAATAAAAAAAAATAAAACCTTAAATGAGTTTTATCATACAATGACTTTTTTTTCTACTGCGAGAATTGTTTGTACAGTACCTACATAAAATATTATAGTTTTATATATTTGTCCTTTTCAAACATAATTTAGTCTTTGGAATAACTTTTTTTTTTTTGATTCATTGTCTATCAACAAATCACACTACACTGCAAGTATATTACAGAATACAATATACAAGACTTTTAACCTTTTTATGATAGAAAACAAACGGATTTCATTTAAATCAATTAAAATTAAGATGTTTTATTCTACCCTATAACAATTGTTGGTTACATTTAATGAACAAAAATTTTATTTTATTAAATTATTATATCGCCAACGTAAGTGTTAAAATCTAAATAATATTATACTACTTTACGGTTGCTTTATAACAAATATATAAATTAAAATTAAAATTGAAATAAATATTTTGAGAATAATAACTGTAAAATAGAATTATAATTAAATTAAAGTGCATTAGCTGAATCAATCTAGTCTCGTCAAGGAGACATTTAATTATTTTACTCATATAAATAATTACTATTTTGAGGCAAAAAAAAATGTAAGTTGAAAAAAACGCACAATCGTCGTATACTCTAATAACACTTATTTTTATTTGTTTACAATACATTAATTTACATATTTGTCAATTGATAATTATTTAATTAATTGATTATTAAATTCAACTTACTAAAAAAATATTATTTTTTCTAAGAAACTTAAAAGTTATAAATATTATGAATTCAGACCAGGACTTAAAAATATTTCTACCTTTAAAACTGTGATTTTCAAAAAAATACATTTAAGTATGTCTAATAAACATTGTCTATACATAGTTAATGTAATAATTCGTTTAGTTTGTAGTAAATACACATTCGTAAATTTCAAATGTATCGATAAAGTAGTTTTCGATGTAAGCTGACTGTTCAACGAGTAAGTAGTAGGTTCATTATATTTTAATTATGCTTAAATACATACATATAGATTGTTTTGTATTAATAACTACATAGTATGTTAATATAGTAATATAATTTGTGATAAATGCAGTACGTGTACTTATAATATTGTGTAAACATTATCGTTTCGATTATTTAATTTCCATATCATCATAATAAGTTAACCTTAATAAGTTAAGCTAACCCATACGTAAAAAAAATATCATACTCGTTATTATAAACTAAAAAAGTTATCATATTAAAGCCCAGAAGCATAATATTTATAACTACATAAAATTATATAATACTTTTGTTTTTAAAATAATGCGTGCCACAAAACATGTAATAATTCAGAAATCTGATGATTTTGTAAAACTATCTTGTATCGTAAATTGTATTGTATAAAATTATATTGTTAAAGATATTATATGTAAGCTGTACACATTATATTAAATAATATTTTTATGACAAAATGATACTAAATTATATAATCGTGTAAATCTTAACTGTCTTCATCAAAATGATTATCGCAGATACGGGTAGTAAAAATAAATTACAAATTAAGTGTGTAGTTATTCTATTATAGCGAATTAGTTTTAGATGGTAAATGTTAAATTATTATCATAAGCTTCATCGATTAATAAAATAGTCATAAATCTAAATAATTTGTATGAACTTAATTTTGATAATTTCGATTAATTTCATGAAAAGCAATGAATCGAATTGATATATTAAGTACTTCTGTTGAATTTTACATCGAAATCATTATGTCAATGTATGAACACCTATGCCACGGTATTTTGAAATACTAATCACTAGGGAACGGATTTATATGTAAATACATATTTTTATTAAAACAATATATTTAAAATTTGATAAGAAATGTTCATAATTTAAATCATTCCTATTAATATGATGCTACTTTTATTTTACATATTTTTACATATTTTGGTATAATTACATATTTTTACATATTTCACTAATTTGTAAATATTTTTAAACATATTTTATTATTTCATCATTCATACGTCTTCTTCATACAAAAATATAAAAAATTATTTCAAATTTAGATCCAGAACTTTTATCGCTATTAGAAAAGCTCAAAATATTATGTAAAATGAAACATTGAAAACAAATTTAATTTTCATCTCAGTGAATTTTAGTTTTATTGCACATACAATTATAAAATTAAAAACAAAAATATGTCCTTGAATGAAAGTATGCAAATTGTCGAATCAACGATTGCAAAATGAAAACTCGTAAACGGACCAATAGGAGAAGTAGTAAAAAAGAAAATTCATGTTTTTACAGAAAAAAATTTCAGGTCATATTGATTTTAAATCAATTAATGACATAATTAGTGGCAGACACCCTTCTAAAAATTTGAAATTATCGCCTTCTAATAATATGCCCTTCAAATATGCTTAAATCAACCGATGTAGGTTGATGTGGAACGATCATCTAGCCGTTTTAAAAATATTTTCAGATCTAATAGGCGACATTTAATATTTGATAATTTAAAATTTATTGTAATAATTCAATGCAACAAATCATTTTGATAATTTAATAATTATATTTTTTTTTTTTTTTAAATTTTTTTCCTACATATTTGGATGGTTTTAGTACATATTTTATAAATTATACTTACATACATATGTACATATTTATGTATTTTTATTACATATAAATCCGTTCCCTACTAATCACTAATAAATTGTTTATTATTAATTATTTATTAGTTTTCAATAATCAGAATATGTGACGATACAATATTATAAGTAAAAATATAAATTATAAAGTTTGGAATACGATGTTTCAATTATATGACTATAATTAAGTACAATCGATACTGAATATTCTGTTCAGCTTCAGGGAAGATACATTTACTAAAAAATATTTTTGATGACTATTAAGCTGTTGACCTTTAAAAAATAAATGTTTTTTTAAAATAAATATCAAATATATTTTTAAAACATAAAAAAAGTTTTCGCTTTTTGATATTTTGGTGCCAACACGCACTTAAATCACGAATATTTAACACGATTATATTGAGATACAAGTGACGTGAAAACGGCTGCAAAAAAAAAAAAAAAAAAAAAAAAAGAAAACCAAATTAAATGCTTGTAACGAAGGTAAAAAAAAACGACGATAATATATTTAACTATATTATTATTGTTTTGTCTCCTATATGACAAAAATCAGTAAATAAAAATAAGTTATGTATCACGAGTGTAATGTTTATCCTACAAAGTGGATACTTACTACGGAGCCAAATGTTTAAAGTTTTTTTTCGACTTTTTTGAATAGTGCGATTCATTAAGTATACCCCGACTTTTTACGGTGCGGCGGGTATATTAGAAATTCTTCTTTTACGCTCGAAAAGTCGGACACGCCTAATGAATCATCACGAAAAAACGTAAAATATATTAATACGGACCGACTTTAGTGCATATGAACTCGGTATTTTTTTTCACAGTCAAACGGACAAACGTATGCACATTGTGTTATAAGACAGGCGGACACACATAGGTCGTCTAATTGGACGAAAAAAAAAATAATAATTATAAAGTCATAGTTATACCCCGATCGTGTTGTGCATATTTGTTTTGTTTAAAACGAGGAGCGCAAACCCCCGAAACATACTATTACTTAACGCGCAGCAACCAGGGGTAATAAGTCAATTAATTATTGCAGTGTTCGAACCGTACCGAGAGACGGTGCAGTTTTACGATCGGTGTAACCTATAAAACAATAAATAGCGTAAAAACGATAATATTAACAACTATAACATACCGCAAATATATCGCTGTAGTTACGTGAGATAGAAATACGTGTTGGATTAGATGAACGGATAGTGTTAAAACTGTTATATTAGTGCATTCATCATAGGAAATAATAACAAACGAGCTAACTTCTTTTAAAACTAATTTCATGAGTTTTCGTCGAAATTATTTGTTAAAACTCTCAAAGCACATCATCAGTCATCGTTTCGTCTAATTATATTGCATTAAATATTCGTTTTGTGTAATTCTGTTTCTTTGTTATCTGTAGATACTAAAATTTTTAAATTAAAACCCAAATGTACCATCATGTTTACTGTTTTTGTAAATAATAAATTTCCGTTATTCAA